ATGAAGAGTTTTTCAAAACAGCACGATTGAGTACCAGCACTAAATGGTGCCACTGGCCCTCGTGCTGCAAGTCGGGGCACCAGACGCGCGCGCCGCACTCGCCCGAGCCCTCCGGCTCCCACTCGCCCACGTCTGCACATACACAATTAACAAAATATAAACACAATACAATACCCATTATTTATGTACCTGTAAACAATTAACAATCAATTCACTAACTAACAATGAACACACAAACTAACACAGATAAATAATACATGATGATATTACTAGACACAAATACTCTAAGTTTACCAATACATGTTTTAAAACATGAATAAGAAACAAAACATTTTTAATACGGGTGTTTTGTAGTGAAATCTTCAATTTAGACAATCCCTTATCGGTCTTAAACTTCAGACAAAATCGGATGTATGCAGGTGACAGAATTTATCTTTGTCTTTTCGCATATAAAAAACACAAGTTGACGGTATACTGACTATGCGGCACCAGCGTCTCCTGCGTGGAGACAATGATGGCCTTATCCCGTGCGGAGAGTACCAGCGCGAGGCAGACGAGGTGGTCGTCGCGGCCGCTGCTCACGTTGCGGACCAGCGTCAGCAGGCGCACGCAGTGCGGGTCCGTGCGTGGGTCCGAGTACTTCTCCACGCATATCCACGTTGAATACGATAGACCAGTTTGCGGGGGAAATACGCGATCACCTACAACAAAATTAGCTTGAAGATCATCTAGATAGAAACATTTTATATCAGGTCAAAATGCATTTAAATTTCACCGCAATACAAGGACCATACCATTTTTGGTTACTTTACTGTAATTCAATGTTGTTGTTGAGTATTTATGTGTCCAGTGGGAATTATTTTTTGGAAATGAAAGAAATGAGATGTGAACCATGAATGACACATAGGTGCAATATTCGGAAACTTAAACTAAAGCGCCAAGCAAACCATTGCGGCGCGTAATTGCTATGCAAAAATGAGTAGGCGCATAAACAGTGGTCATTGATTTTACAAGATAAAAGTTAACTACTATTAATGTAGAAAAGATATTTTTATTGTGTTGGTGTTATTATTATTTAAATAGTTTATAATACCAGATCCGATGCCTCCTAATGTGGTAGTGTCTTGTGTGCCAAGTGCATTCAGGTTAGCGGATTGCGGCGCGATGCTGGGCAGGTAAAGACAGCCGAAACCCTCCGCTGACATATCGAACTCCACGAACGGCGGCAGAGTGCATGAGTTTTGAGATCTATCAAAAATACACAAATAAAAGCAAGTTTTTTGAAATAATTTATGAGGCCTACGTTCAGTAGTAGATAACCTAAGCTGATAATGATGATGAAATAATTTATTTTTAAAGTGACGACGTGTACAAACCTGTAATCTCTGGGCGTTGTCATAGAGACGAGCGTCTTGATCCTAGTGAGGGGTACCGGTCCGCCGGGCTTGCACACCTGGCCGGGCTCCGGCGCGAGGCAGTTCAATGGGTTGCCCATACGAAGGAATTCCCTATAAGGCGACATTTTTAATCAACATAATTTATCGTACGAGATAAATAGACATTTTTTAAATTACAAATTACACAACTTTTCCAGTACTT